GCCTAGCAATTGTACTCTTAGCATTCTTGGGCATTTCTCTCATAGAAATGAGTTTACATTCACACGAAAACCTGCACGTGAGTGTTTTAACAGCTTAATTCTTGATAACCCTAACTAGAAACAAACCAGATGACTTTCATGGAAAGAATAATTAAAATAGTAGATCCACAGCATGGAATGCCAAATGATTAAAAGAATAAACTTTTGATAAAACATTACAAGTTGAACTTACCTCCAGAGACTATGGTTATTAAGAAAAGACAGTTCCTAAAGGTTCCTACTGTATGAGCCTATTCATATACCATTCTTGAAATGGTACAATTATTGAATCGGAGAATAGGTTATTGTATGCTGGAGGCTAATGAGTTGAGGGTGAGAGAGAGGGTGGGTGTGGCTATAAGAGCAGAATGAGGGAGCCTCATGATGATGGAAATGTTGTCCTGACTATGTTAGTGTGGGTAGCCTGTTGTGATACTGTACTATATTCTAATAGGATGGTACCAGGGTGGAAGCTGTATAAAGTGTACAGGGCCCACTCTGGATTACTTCTTAGAACAGCTATGAAACTGCAGTTCCCCCAGAATAAAAAGTTTAATGAATGAAGGTAAACAAATGAGAGAATGAATTTTAATGCAGAAAAGTATATATGGCTCAGCTTTCCCCTACTGTCCTGTCCTGCTGTGGAGAAAGAGGTGTCTCAGATATCCTTTTGTGCTTCAGCTCTTACTATTTCCCATCTCCAGTGCCATTAGGGATTCCCTTTCTAGTGGCTCTGTCTCTTTTGCCTATTAAAGTTTACCTCCCTTATTCAAATAACCACAACAAAGAACCTAAATTAAGCAAGCAGTTTTTCTTTACTTCTCCCTTACCCTTACCTGCTCTGTCTTTGGTGTCTTTCTTCCCTATCTTCTCTATGTAATTCATCTATAGATTTGTCATTTCACCTTGTAGGTAGCTCTGCATTCCAGCGATATTGCTGTAACCTATTCTCAGCAACTGTCACTGCTGTTTACTGACTTGGCTCCCACTTCTTCCCATGTGTTTCTTGCCCTCATTACAAATGTATTTTCACACTCCTGCTACAGCAGTCTTTTCAAAGCTGCAGTCTTAGCACATCACTGCTACCCTCAACCTGCTTTTAAAAATGTTTAATGGATTTCCATTGTCCTATGTTAAGGAACTCAAGTGAATGGATGGACCTGAAGAACATCATTCTGAGCGAGGTTAGCCTGGCCCAAAAGACCAAAAATCGTATGTTCTCCCTTATATGCGGACATTAGATCAAGGGTAAACACAAAAAGGGGATTGGACTTTGATCACATGATAAAGTGAGAGCACACAAGGGAGGTATGAGGATAGGTAAGACACCCAAAAAACTAGATAGCATTTGATGTCCTCAATGTAGAGAAACAAATGCAGATACTTTAAAGTGACAGAGGCCAATAGGAGAAGGGGACCAGGAACTAGAGAAAAGGTTAGTTCAAGAAGAATTAATTTTGAAGGTAACACACATGTACAGGAAAGCAATACAAGTCAGCTCCCTGTATAGCTATCCTTATCTCAACTAGCAAAAACCCTTATTCCTTCCTATTATTGCTTATACTCTCTCTTCAACAAAATTAGAGATAAGGGCAAAATAGTTTCTGCCTGATAGCGAGGGGGTTGGGGGGAGAAGGAGGAGGCAGGGTAGGTAAGGGAGGGGGAAGGGGGGAGAAATGACCCAAACATTGTATGCACATATGAATAAAAGAAAAAATAAATAAATTAAAAAAAAAAGGCCTCGTGTAACCTGGACAGCTCTTTTTTCTTCTAAACACCTTTCTGCACTTGTTTGTTTCAAACCCCCAAACCATTGATCCTTTCTGCCACAATCCCTTTGCATGTGCTGGTCTGTCTTAAAGACTTTCTTTCCCTCTCATTATTTAGCTAGCTCCTCCTCATTCTTAAGGTCTCAGTTTAAGGTTAACTAGGCCTTAATTTCCTGGCAGGTTCTTTTGGCATGCCATTTTGTAGAATTATCTTTCATACCCGTCTTTCCCACTAAGTTGCATGACAGTGTTGATTGTTTTTTCTCATTGTTGTGTTCCCAGATGCTGCCTGACACATGAAGGTATGTCTGTACATTTGTTAAGGGAAAGAGAAAGCTTTCTTCTCATGCTCATCATCCAGCTTCTTCAGCACTGTCAGTGCTTTTTGCCTTCCCTTTACCCCTGTTAATGCTGTAGCCAATCTCCTGTTCTTTAACTCTGGACCATCACAGTACCTGTAATTTTAGCTTCCAGTCTTTTCCTACTCTGTGTGTTTCTTCACAAAATGTAATCATGCCATTCATTTGCTTAAAATCCTTTCCTTGGCCAAAAAAAAAATCTCATTAGCACACCAAGCTCTTGCAGACTAACCCCAGCCATGCCATGTTACTTAGGGACTCACCCCTCATGTCCGGTTGTACTAAACTGAGCTGAACTTGTGTCCACTCACCACGCATATTTTCACATACCTTTCTTTTGCTTGTGTATTTGAATGTTGGAGTTCTGAAGGCTTTTCTTTTTACTATGAGTCATGAACAGGTTAAATGAATTCTATCAAGCAAGTGGACCTTCTTCTTCCTCCCATCTTCCTTTAAAAGGAGTAAAATCAAACCTATTTAAACAAATTACTACTATATTAATATCAGGGAAGCCAGCGACGGTGGCTCACGCCTATAATCCTAGCTACTCAGGAGGCAGTGATCAGAGGGCTCATGGTTCGAAGCCAGCTCAGGCAAATAGTTTGCGAAACCCTATTTCAAAAAAAAAAAAAACCATCACAAACAAGGGCTTGTGGAGTGACTAAATGTGTAGGCCCTGAGTCCAAATCCCAGTACTACAAAAAAATTGTTGATAATCAAGGAAAACTTTCAAAAATTACTATACCACCTTGTGTTTCATATTATGTTTGTTTTTGCTGGGTATCATTTGTGTGTATTGCTGATTTCTCGTTTACAAACATTCAACTTTTAATTTCTGAAGCTTAGAAGTGACTTTGTCCATGTGTAAAATGTAGGATTATAATTTATGTAAATTTTTCTTATTTTATGACACACCAAAACCCGGTTTTACTTCGTTTCTTTCATCTCAGTCATTCTTGGTCTATTCCATTATATGTTGTCTTACTTGTCTATTTCATCATATAATGTATTTGAAGGTATAATTAATACAATTCAGATAGGAAGATTACTTGACAAAGTTTAATTGTGACCTTTCAGTGTAGTATTCTTGGTGAAGTCACTAAATCTGATTCTAATTTTATATCCAGAGACAAGCTTGTTTATCAGGTTCAGGAAGACCAATTACATTGATTTACAGTGTACTGAAATTTAGGTCACAGTAGCACTTTGTTTACTTAGAATGAACATTATAAAGGTAGCAGAGACTAGTTATTTCCTCTATTTTTTTTTTTTCCTTCCTAAAGAATTCTGTGTGATCTGGGCACTGGTGACTTAACACCTGTAATCCTAGTCACTTAGAAGGCTGAGATTGGGAGAATTGAGGTTCAAAGCCACCTTGGGCAAATAGTTCACAAATCCTCTTCTCCAAAATAACCAGAGCGAAATAGACTGGAGGTGTTGCTCAAGTGGTAGAGCACCTGCTTTGCAAGTAGGAAGCCCTGAGTTCGAACCCCAGTTGCACCAAAAAAAAGAAATAAAGCTGTGTGGCTGGGCATACAGCTCATGCCTGTAATCCTAGCTACTTGGGAGGCAGAGATTGGAGGGCCACAGTTTGAGCCCAACGAGACAAAAAAAAGTTTGTGAAACTTCATTTGGACGTGGTAGTGCATGCCTGTCATTCCATCCACACGGGAAGTGTGAGTAGGGGGATCACGGTTCAGGCCTAGGCACAAACTTGAAACCATTCCCAAAAGAACTAACATGAAAAGGACTGCGAGTGTGGGTCAGGTTGTAGAGTGCTTGAGTGCAAGGCCCTGAGTTCAACTGCCAGTATGGGGAAAAAAAAACAAAAAACTATTTGAAAAGCCAAATTATAGTAAAAACATTTTTTTGTTGTTGAACATAGATACAAATAGAAGTATAGCAATGTTAAGATTTGGAAGAAAATTCTAGACTGTGAAAACTAGTTTAGACTGGCTTAAAATAAAGACGTACATGTGTACATTTACTATTGTGTTGGTACTATATCTTGCATTTGCTTGTCCATGGAAGTGACTTTTAACGTGGCAACTTTAATGACACTTGTAGAATCAATTGCATCCTTTGCTTTATACCTTTATGCCAGACATACCTTTGTATGTGTGATTTCATTTGTAAGTCACTACATGAGCTACACTTGTTCACTTTGCAAAAATTTGATTAGAATATTGATTTGTGATTTCTTCCTTGATGGTTTATGGGATTGGTTTAGTTTTTCCTTAAATAGACTCATATCACTCTGTAGCTTTGAATTGATACTCATCAACATCCTTGTTGATAATGGCATGATTGTGTCTCATTCGTGCCCAGTACCACACCCCTGTGACTGCTCTCTGGCAGTTGACCTCCTCTCTCCCCTCCCTTCCACTTTTCCTCCGGTTTCCTATCCAAGCCACCATAGGAAACTTGTCGGCACTGTCACCTATGCCTTACTGTTTCTGGTCTGACATTTTGCCCTCTTTTCTTTTCTATTAGTAATTTCAGTTGGCATAGCTATGGTGAAACCAGTCTCAGAAAAATTCCAGACTTCAAAATTACATAATTTCCAAAAAGTTGGCCAGAGCAGGGAAAGTTGGAATTGGTAACAACACAAAAATTCCCTTTGGGAATAACTAGAAGTGCCAGGGATTGTAACATTTGATTTGTATTTGTGGTATTTATGCATGTGAAATATGAGCAAAGCAAATTGAAATTTTAATTTTATGTTACTCTCAGTCCATTTGTAGCCCTATCCACAATAATAACGTTTTATGTGGGAAGTTTCTCATTATTTTCCTCACATTGAAATGTATTGATTTTTTTTTTTTTCATACAGCTCTGAAAGGTTGGTGTTGCTGGCAGGTGGTAGCTTGGAGATCAGTGGTGTCACTGAGGACGATGCTGGGACTTACCTCTGCATAGCTGATAATGGAAATGACACAATTGAAGCACAAGCAGAGCTTACTGTACAAGGTACATAAGTAGTTACTGCCTGAGTGAAGAAATCCCTGTGCTCTGTGGGTCTGCTAAAGGTGTAATGGTAGTGAGAGAGATGCAGTACAACATCACTTTTACACCAGACAGCCTCCTAAATATATGACTATAGGAAATTTACTTACCCTTTCTGAACCTCATTGCCCACATTTGTAAAATAGAAATAATAAGAGTACTCACTTCATTGGTATTGTTTTGAGGATCAAGAGCTAATCCTTACAAAATCTCAGAGTAGTGACTAGAATATGCTCAATGTTAGTTACTGTTATATTTTAGTTTTTTGGTGGTGGCTGCAGTAACAGTAGTCGTAGTAATGTGGGGAAGGAGGGTGTGACCTGAGGCATCTGGAAAGTTCTGTTCACTTTTCTTGTCTCAGGACACTTTCTGTTCTCTTGACCCAAAGCCATATCACTCCTTAGTGTTCCTGTTCCTTTGTTCCAGGCGAAAAATATATCACCCGGGAAGGAGTGCATGGTGGCTCTCTGTGTTACTTGGTTTGATAAAAATTTGATATTTATTTTCTCTTTGTTAAGCTGATGCTGGTCATCACTGCGAGGATAGCTGTTCTCTTTCTCCATATTCTTCCCCTTTCCATAGAGGTTGTTTGAATTAGAAATCAGGAAAAACTAGACATGACATGTATACATAGTCTTCTTTATGCCCATCTCTCCTACCATTCTCCCATATAGGAAGGTACTCTCAGAAGAATATTTGCTTGCTCTTTTATGACTTACTTGTGCTCTCATCGATTGTTGTTTCAAATAAAAATCCTTAGGATCTTTTCCAGTACTTTTAGAGAATTCCAGCAGTGCTTATATATGTGGAAGTGTAGACTGGCTTGTGTTACTCATAATCAACTTGTTTCAAATTGCATTTGAGAGACTACATTATCACCTGTGGTTTGATATCATTAGCCACTCCTTAGTTCTAACATTTATTTTGTTGGTTTGTTTTGTGGGTTTCAGACCTGGACATAGAGTAGCTACGTTCTACTCCCAGTTGTCACCAAAGAACTCAAATGTGTTTTTAGAAGAGTTAGCACACTGCTTGGGATTCAGTGCTGGTGAAGGCATCAACTGCTTACGTTCTCTACTGCTTTGTGCAGGTGGATTGTTGTGCTGTGGAGTGGTACTTAAAGTTGACGACTATTACATCAATTGAGCTCAGCCTTGGTCAGAGGGAAGGAGGGGTATAGGGCATACTTGGCATCATAGAATGACCAGTTTTGTTCTTTGTCTCTATAAAGGTGAGGTTAAAAAGTAAAATATTAGCAAACTCCATGTTCTTTAGTCTCTGTGTCCTCCTTAATGGAATGTTTTCTTTTTTGTCTTTTTAATTAACTAGATTGTTACCTAACAGTCTCTTCCATTCACTCCCCTCCCCATACCTCAGTTTTCTTCTACCTTGTTAATTTGCCAGTTATTATGATCCTCAAATAAGATGCAGTATGTACTCTACTTTTTATCTTCTCCTTTTGCCCCATTTCTTCATGAGGACATTTGTCCATATGGTTTATTTTCTGGCTTTTAAAAAATTTTTATTCATTAAAAATGAATTAACTGTCAACTGAATTAACTATTTAAAAATATCTATAATTAAATACATCTTAAATTTTATAATCAGTTTCATCTTGAGAATCTGTGCTTGAAAAAAGTACCTTAACTCTAAGTGAGTACACTATAGAAAACTGAGAGAGGACAAGGGGTCCTAGATATTAAAAATTACCACAAACCTTCTCTATCAAAACAGCATGATACTGGCCTAAGAACGGACAGTAGAAAAGGATAACATACAACTATTACATGTAATTATGCAACTTTAAAATAAAATAAAAGTGGAAATTTAATGGGGAAAAGACCTTCATTTAAGAATGTAATTATTGGTATAATAGACTTTCTACTGGAAGAAAATGAAGTTGAGTCTTTTTCAAACGAAAGGTCTGCATGTGACAAACATGGAATAGTGTGTATTATCTCTGGTAGGAGATAATATCATAAGAAAAACACAAATGGCATGCCGTAAGCAAAATTCAAACAAAATTGACTCTGTGCTAGAAGTGCTCTTAAAAAAGTCATAGAGGAAAAATCCTCTGTCCATATACGCTTAGTGCAGGTGAAAGACTGGGAGGAAATGTTTGTAATACACATAACAGAGAAAAGTTAACATCCTTAAAATACAAGGCACCAGTTTTTAACATGGAAACAATTTTCAGTTAGTCGATCAATTTGAATATGAAGAAGGAACGCATAGGCATTCATTAGCCATTTGCATTTCCTCATCAGTGGGAAATGCACACCTAAAAGACATCATTTTCCCACTCATGATAGTGGCAAAAATTAAGGTTTTTTTTTTTTTTAAACTTCCAGACGAGATCAGGCGTGTTCAGGGTGGTATGGCCGTAGATTTTTTTTAAACTTCCAGAGCATGAGGTACATTGCTCAGAACTGAAAATAGTTACTGCAGTCATCTCATCAGTACAGCGTAGAGCAGAAGTGTTTTCTTGCTTGGTACTAGACATTTTATTTAGTAACCAGCTAAAAAGTTGAATTAGTTTTTTTAACAATTATAAGGACCAGTCAAACTCATTCATTAGCCAAGTCCTATCAACAGCCTGTACCTCTCACCTTTGCAACTTTAGGAAGATATCTGAGGTGGTCCGTTAGGGTTTTCCATTTCTTGCTGTTGAGGGGGCACCCTACCTCGTAACTTATCAGTTGCTCGTACAAGTTTCAGATTGGCATGAGGTAATAGGTACACTGTATGTTTGGGAGTGCCAGTGATGACCTTAGGGAACTGGAGAATTATGGCATGTAGAAGTGCTTAGAAGGCAGTATTTGGTGAGCAGAGTAACTACAGGGGAGGAATTTTAAAAAATTTCACCCAGGAATTTACAAAGTGCTTATAAATCCATGGGTAATGCAAAGTCAGGAAGAAAAAAACTTGTTTTCAGATGTAGTAGGAGAATCATTGTGAGTGTCCATGAAGGAATCAGGCAGTGCTTGCTTCTACTCTCCAAACAGAATAATTTGGTGGCAAATTATTCTACTATAAAGTGTAACTCTTTGTTGATTTGCTTTTCTCAGGTTTCTGAACTGGATTAGGAGTGGTTGAAATTGAGTAAAAAGTTTATAATTTGATAATACAATTTCTAGACTGGTTCTGTGTCCTATGAAATTAGTCCTAACTATTGACTCCCTTACTTAAAGTCAGCTGTGAAGAAATGAGAAGGTGAGAAGGAAGGAGAGAAGGCTGAAGGCTGCCTTGAGCCTGTCTGTCTGGGTTGATGGGTGAGTGGGCAGTGCTGTGTTAGAGGTGTTGGCTTACTTGGAACTAAGAAGGCCATTAAGTTCTATTGTTCTTTCTCACTGGTGTTGCTTTCGTACTGTCTTTCCTGTCCTTTCACCAAACAACAACAAAAACCCCAAGCAAAAAAAAACAGAAAAGAGTAACAATGCCCAGGCCTCGCTGTCCTTTCAAAAAATCTCCTGGGACTTTGATGGCATTGATGTAAACTGGAGCGGCCTATCTAGCCGCAGTGTCTAAAGGCACTTAGGAGTTCATTTTTCTATTTCTCTCCCCACCTCCTTCAAACTCCCAGATTGGTAGGTTTCAGCCTAATAAGATTCTGTTGCCAGAACTGTCTTTCCTAAAAGTTAAATGGGAAGCCCTAATCAGAATTTTTGCCTCTGAAATGCCCACAAGGAGGAGTAAACTGCCAAGTTTGAGAGTCCTGGGGCTCCTTGCTCGGGGCTCATTCTCCCTTTAAGTTCAACAGGTTGGATACGGTTATTTTCTGGCCATTAGTCCTTTCATCATGCATTTTACCACAGGGAGTGACTGGCACCCCAGAGGAACCTTAGTTTATAGCCATACTTACACCTGAACTCTGGTTATGCTCAAAGAAAGCAACTAAGTAAATGAGGTACACTATCTCATGGATAACTATTGAAAAAGATTGACTAGGAATTTTAAATAAACACAATAAATACATTAAGGGTATAGGAAAGATATTAGCAGTATGATGCAAGAATAAGATAACGTAAAAACACAGAACCAGGTGGAAATAATTAAGTACAAAAATACAATAAAAATAAAGAATAAAGCAACCTGGATGGAGTTGAACGAGAACAATTGATGAGCAGACTCATGAGTTGGAAGACAACACTGAGGAGCTCTCTGAGAAGGAAGCCTGAATGACGAAGAGAGAACACAAAGTGTAAATCCAAGAGGCTGGAAAGGAAGCCGTGGAAGGCTTCTGCTAAATAGGAATCTTAACAGATTAAAAAACAAAGGCAGGTACATTTCTCAGAATTAAAAACTTGTAGAAACCCTTAGACTGAAAGGGATTATCCCAAGAGTTAGGGAAACGGACATGAAATCTACATAGAATTTATATGCATCTGAAATGTGAGGCAGAATAAAAACTCTCACCATGTAATCCTTCAGAAGGGTTGATGTACAAAGACACACACACTTGGGATAAATACCCAAGTAAGAAGTGAAAATCCAGGGAATGTTGGAAAACTACAGGAGTTGTAAAAACATAGTCTCCCAAATCTTCAATCATCCTAATAGGGCTGGAGTTCTCATGTGGCCAAAAATATACAATGGGGAAGGGACAGTTCAATAAATAGTGCTGAGAAAACTGGATTATCACATTGGCAAGGCTGAAATTGAATCCTTGTATCATATATAAAATTAACTCAATGGGTTAAAGACTTAAGGTGTGTATCTGTAAAGCTTCTAAAAGAAAACAAGGAAAAAGCTTCTTGACATTGACCTTAGGAAAGATTTTTTGAATATGACATCAAAAGCACAGGCAGCAAAAGCAAAAATAGACAAATAGTATTACATCAAACTAAAAAACATCTGCACAGCAAGAAAACAACAGAGTGAACAGACATGTGGAGTGGGAGAAAGTGTTTGCACACCATACACCTGATAATGGATTAATATCCAAAATAAATAAGGAATCCAGT